ATAATGGACCTCTTTCAGTCAGTTAGCCAGGTAGTTGTCTTCCAAATTTCTTGGCATATAAACATATAAAACACATGGCATCTGTTTGTTGAAACATCTCAGTGGGTATTCTATCAATTCCTGGAGGCTTGTTTTTCACCAATTTCTTCAGTGCAGCTTCAACTTCTTCTTTCAATACCACTGGTTCTTGTTCATATGCCACCTCCTGAAATGGATGAACATTGACCAATTCTTTTTGGAACAGTGACTCCGTGTATTCCTTTCATCTTCTTTTGATGTTTCCTGCATCATTCAATATTTTGCCCATAGAGTCTTTCAGTATTGCAACTCGAGGCTTGAATTTTTTCTTCAGTTCTTTCAGCTTGAGAAATGCCAAGTGTGTTCTTACCTTTTGGTTTTCTAACTCCAGATCTTTGCACATTTCATTAAAATGATTGAGTTTGTCTTCTCGAGCTGCTCTTCGAAGTCTTCTGTTCAGCTCTTTTATCATATCATTTCTTCCATTTGCTTTAGCTACTCTCTACTCAAGGGCAACTTTCAAAGTCTCTTCTGACATCCATTTTGGTCTCTTATTTTCCTGTCTTTTTATTGACCTTTTGCCTCTTCATGCATGATGTTCTTGATGTCTTCCCACAGTCCATCTGGTTTTCAGTCACTGGTGTTCAATGTGTCTAATCTGTTCTTCAGATGGTCTCTAAACTCAGGAAGAACATAATCAAGGTCATATTTTGGTTCTTGTGGACCTCTTTTAATCATCTTCAGCTTCAGTTTGAACTTGCATATGAGCAGTTAATGGTCTGTTCCACAGTCAGCTCCTGACCTTTTGGCTGAAGATATTGAGCTTCTCCATCTCCTTTTTCAACAGATGTAGTCAATTTGTTTCCAGTGTATTCCATCTGGTGATGTCCATATGTATAGCCACCATTTATGTTGTTGAAAACGGGTATTTGCAATGAATATGTCCTTAGAACCGCAAAATTCTATCATGCAATCTTCAGCATCATTTCTATCACCAGGACCATATTTTCCAACTACCAATGATTCTTCTTTTTCCAACTTTTGCATTCCAATTACCAGTAATAATCAATGCATCTTGATTGCATGTTTGCTCAATTTCAGACTGCAGAACTTAGTAAAAATCTTCAATTTCCTCATCTTTAGCTTTGGTAGGCAAATTTTAATAATAGTAGTATTAATTGGTCTTCCTTGTAGACATATGGATATTATCCTATCAGTGACAGCATTATACTTCAGGATAGATCTTGACACATTCTTTGTGATAATGAATGCCACTCTATTTCTTTTCAGTTTGTCATTCTCGGCATAGTAGGGCATATGGTTGTCTAATTCAAAAATGGCCAAAACCAGTTCATTTCAGCTCACTAATGCCTAGGATATCAATCTTCATGCATTCCATTTCATTCTTAACAACCTCTAGTTTTCCTAGATTCATATTACATACATTCCATGTTCCACTTATTAATGAATGTTTGTAGCTATTTCTTCCCATTTTGAGTTGTGCCACATCAGCAAATGGAGATCCTGAAAGCATTACTCCATCCATGTCATTAAAGTCGACTCTACTTTGAGGAAGCAGCTCTTCCCCAGTTGTATTTTGAATGCCTTCCAACCTGATGGGGTCATCTTCTGACATTGTATCAGACAATGTTTCAGGGCTAATCATAAAGTTTTCCAGTAATATATCAGATAGTGTTTCACTGCTATTCATAAGGTTTCCACTGGCCAATTATTGTGAAGTGGATAGCCCTTTCTTTCTTCCAAGTCTGTCTTAGTCTGGAAGCTCCACTCAAACCTGTCCACCATGGGTGACCCTTCTGGTATTTGAAATACAAAGGGCATGCCTCTGACTTCACAGCAACATGCAAGCCAGCACAGTATGACAAAGTGACAGATGAGTGGTAAAAATTCCTGATAAGTTTCACAAATTCTAAGGTATTATAATATTGCACATTAAAAAATTATTAACAAAAAAATAATAAAAATGGAAAGGTTTTAAAAAGCCAAAGTGGTTACATCTACATCCATGAACTGCAAAGTTTAAAACATAAATAATTTTACAATGATACTTCAAGGAGAAACTTTAAATTTTAGAACATCACTTTCCAGGTTTTAATTCATATATTTTCATTAAACTTTATTAAGTACATATTATATATAAGCTACTGCCTTAGGCACTGCCATACCTAGTGAAATCAGGCTTTATTAGAAGAAAAAAAAAAAAAAACTAGCCAGATAGCTATGAAATATTATTGTCCTTTCTATTTAATGATCCCTATCCATGAGGCAGTTCTACTCTGTCCTGAGTTGGACTCAGCTTGACAGCTGTGAGTCTGGTTTTTTAGTTTATCCAGGAAGGAAAATGAGCCTTCGTGGCATAGAGCTTACAGAACTCAGCTGCTAACTGAAAGGTTGGCAGTTCAAACCACCAGTTGCTCTACAAGAGAAAAAGGTGGCAATCTGCTTCAGTAGAGCTTACAGCCTTGGAAACCCTTTAGGGCAGTTCTACTGTGTCCTACAGGGCAACTATAAGTTGGAATGGACTCAATTTGTTAGTTTGGGGTTAACCATGAGTGAATTGTGCCTAAAAGGACAACCTATCCCATTGCCATTGAGTTGACAGCACTAATATAAATTGTGTATAAGGTTTAACAGAGATCAAAACACCCATGAAAAAGACTTAGTCCAAAAAAAAAAAAAAAAAGTCTCAGAGATATGCTTATAATCATTTAATTCAAATGAAGCATCAAGTAAAGATCATTCTCATTTCACAGTATGGCAGCTGCTTTGCAGGACAATGTAATATATTCAACTCAACTGCTTCTGGTCCCCAAATGAGGAAAATGTCATTATTTTTGGAACATTAAGAAGTCTGCAGCAGAAGATAACTGTACAACTCACTTCCTCATTTATTTATACCCCAACAGCCTGAAGAACACATAAGCTTGGAGTTTTCTGTTTGAACTCACAAACATTGGACATATTAAAAAACTGGCCTGGGTGATCTCACACTTCTTGCGTACACTACACCAGAGTATCATCCTGTTCAATCTTGCACAGTCTGAAGTTCTTTATTTTAGGGAGGAAAAAGCATCTCAAACAACACATCATTCTTGCATTAGGCCATCAGCATTTTCATAGCATTCATACCACTTTTTAATTTGCCCACAGTTCTCCCTCAGAACATCTAGTCCTTACTAACTCCTGAAATTATTTTCCCTCAATTTAAATTCCTAGGAAAAATGAAATCCTTCAGATTTAAGTACCTATAAAACTCCATTTACACTGGCATTATAGTCTATTTCTACCTGGCAGCAACATTCATCAAACACCTACAAGTTACTATGTATAAATGAGTCACTTCCTCTTCTGGAGGAGACCTAAAGCCCAATTGTGCAAAGCAAAATAGTCTGAAAAGCTAGAAAGGTACATGCTTACCAAAAAAGGAAACACTAAACCATAGTCTCTCACTGATAGAAAAAGTCAAAGTAAAAATATAAACTGTCTATAGGGTTTAATGAGTATCAACGCTTTCATAAATTAAAAACACCCAGGCAAATGGTTTGGTTTAAAAGAAAAAAAAAATTCTCAGAGAAATGTTTATACTCATTTAATTAAAACGAAACTTCCCCTCTGCTGTGGAGGCAGATCCGACTCATAGCACCCCTCCTTGGGTTTCAGAGGCAGTATCTCTACGGAAGTAGATTGCCCTGAAGTATTCTTTATTTAAAATTGACAACCTTGCAGCAATTTTCAACTGAGAAATGAATAGATTCATGTCCTAACAAACAAAAACTAGATTTCTCTAATTTAGTACATTATTCTTTACCTTTCTTCCTTTTTTTTTTTTAATTATTGTTTTCCACTTATTTTGGGTGAGGCAGTCATGAAAAAAGAGAATCAAAAATAACAAAGAGAAGTATTATACAAACTCAGTCACTTGGAGATTTAATTGGGATTCTAAAAATTTTCTAATGGTTAGCATCTTTCAAAAGGCAGTCTTTCAACAAGCATCCCGAAATTACTAAACTGTAATAAGCAGTAAGGAAAAATTCTATTGGAAGAAATAATAAATACTAAGTACCCAGCCTTATTTGTAATAATAGCACAACACAAATGTCCACAAATTGCTAGATGAATAAAGAAATCAAATTACATACATACAATGGAATGTTGTTGCTGTTAGGTGCCATTTAGTTGATTCCAATTTATAACAACCTTATGTAGAACAGAACAAAACACTGCCTGGTCCTGTGTTACCCTCACAACCGTTGCCATGCTTGAGACTGCTATTGTAGCCACTGTGTCAATCCATCTTGTTGAGAGTATTCTTCTTTTTCACTGACCCTCAACTTGCCCATTATGTCTTTCTCCAGGCAACAGTCTCTCCTGATACGTGTCCATAGTAATGAGATGGTCTCTAGTCTTGCTTCCATGGACCACTCTGACTATGCGTCTTCCAAGACAGACTTTTCCTTCTTCTCAAAGTACATTCAGTATTCTTCACCAACACTGTAATTCAAAGGCATCAATTCTTCTTTACTCTTATTATTCATTGTCCAGCTTTCACATGGATATAAGGTAATGAAAAGCACCATAGCTTGGGTCACACACACCTTAGGCCTCAAGGTGACATCTCTGCTTTTTAACATTTTAAGAATTCTTTTGTAGCAGATTTGCCCAATGCAATTTATCATTTGATTTCTATACTGCTGCTTCCATGGGAAGGACCTCTGGTGGCACAATGCCCAAGTCATTTGACTGCTTACCAGAAGGTTGGCAGTTCAACCACCACCCCCCAACTGCTCCACAGAAGGAAGACAGGGCAATCTACTCCTGTAAAGATTACTGCCTTGAAAATCCAATGGAGGTCACTATGAGTAAGAATCGACTTGATGGCAGTGGGTTTGGTTTAGTTTGGTTTGGTTTTGGCTTTCACGGGTGATGATTGTGGATCCAAGTAAAATGAAATCCTTGACAACTTCAATATTTTCTCCATTATTATGATGTTGTTTATTGGTCCAGCTGTGAGGATTTTTGTTTTCTTTATTTTGAGACATAATCCATACCAAAGGCTTTGTTATTCATCAGTAGGTACTTCAAATCTTCATCACTTTCAGCAAGAAGGTTGTGTCATCTTCATACCACAGGTTGTTAAGTCCTCCAATCTTAGTATCACATTCTTCTTCATATAGTCCATCTTCTCACATTATTTGATAAGCATACAGATTGAATAAGTATGGTGAATGGATACATCCTTGAGATACACTTTTTGTGATTTTAAACCATGCAGTATCCCTTTGTTCTATTTGAACTGCCTCTTGGTCTCTGTACAGGTTCACCATGACCAGAATTAAGTGTTCTGGAATCCTGTTCTTTACAATGTTATCCATAATTTGTTATGATCCACACAGTCCAATACCTTACCATAGTCAATAAAATGCAGATCAACAACTTTCTGGTAGTCTCTACTTTTAGCTAATATCCATCAGACATCAGCACTGATATCCCTCATTCCATGTTCTCTTCTGAATGTGGCTTGAATTTCCTCCAGTTCTCTGTCATATACTGCTGCAACCATTTCTGAATTATCTTATTCATAATTTATTTACATGTAATATTAATGATATTGCTCACTAATTTCTACATTCCTTTGGATCACATTTCTTTGGACTGGGCATGTATACGGATCTCTTCCAGTTGGTTGGCCAGTAGCTGTCTTACACATTTCTTGGCAGAGATGAGTGAGTGCTTCCAGCATTGCATCCATTTGTTCAAACATCTAAATTGGTATTTTGTCAGTTTCTGGAGCCTTGTTTTTGGCCATTGCCTTTAGTGCAGCTTGGACTTCTTCCATCAGTACCACCAGTTCTTGATCATAAGCTACCTTCTGGATAGCTGAATGCCAACCAATTTATTTTGGTACAGTGACTATGTGTATTCCTTCCATCTTCTTTTGATGTTTCCTGCAGTGTTCAAATTTTTTTGCCCATAGAATTCTTCACTATTGCAACTTGAAGAACACTACCCAGTCATAAAAAGGCATGTGTTATTGATACCTGAAACAATGTTAATAAATCTCAAAATCACTATACCCAGTGAAAGAAGATACACACAAAAAAGTATGCATCCAATATAATTTCCTTTATATAAAATTTTAGGAAATGCTAACTACATCTAGTGATATAAGTCAGATCAGTGGTGGTCCAAGGAACAGAAGGAGTATATCTCACAAAAATGCCTCCCTCACAAAGAAGTCTTTAAAACTCCTGTCAAAATCAAGATAATAAATACATGTGAATCAGTAAACAGGATAATCTCCAGCACAAGGAGGTGCATACAAATGTATGACATGAGGACTCTGACTTTCTTTATGATTGTGTACAGAAGAAAAATGTGGGTTTTGATTATGTGGTAACAAGGTACTGTGAAAACTAATGAATATATGAAATCACAGAAAAAAAACTTTCAATAATAAGATGGGTTTGGACACACAAAGGAAAAAATAACTGTAAAATAAGAAAATATTACATAAGGTTGCTGTGTTCAGACATGGAAGTACAATGTCCTGTGTCTATAATCACAGAAAGAAGAGAAACAAATGTGATGAGTCCAGGATATGACTTTCCTTGAGTAGCTCAGGGCAGTAAGTGCCAAGTAGAACAGAGATCTTGGTAAAGTGAAGAGGCAGAGGGAATAGAGTTCCAAAATGCAGAAGGTGGGCAGGGGTTGAAAAAGCACTCATTATGGGAATTTATCATGGTCCTCAGCCAAGGGCTAGAATGCAAATGTAAAACTGCAAGGCCTAGCAGAGATCACCAGATGCAAGTTTGTGAGCAGAACAGAGGTAACAGACTGTACAGGACTGGAGGATGGTGTTCTGGTGCACTCTGAAAGATACACAGAAAACCTGAAAGAAGAACTTTCTAAGCAGAGGGAACAGTGAGTACAGAATTACTGAGGGGAGATCAAGCTTGGCTGTTAGAAGAATCCAAAGAATGCCAACATAACTGTCATCTAGTAAACAAGAAAGAGTGCTAGGAAGTTCAAATTGAAGAAGGCTGGGTCCAAATCATGCAGGCCTCACAGATCACAGTAAGGATCTGGATTTCATGAGCTGTTATCATCATCGGAAGAATAATATTTTTTTACACATTTCTCAAATTTAGTGATAGTATTTGCATTGGTATGCTAGGGCTGCTGGAAGAATTACCACAAAGCAGGTGGCTTAAAACAACAGAAATTTATTGTCTCACAGATCTAGAAGACAGAAGTCTGAAATCAAGGAGCGAGCAGGGCCATGGTCTCCCTGCAGGTGCTAAGGGAGGATCCTTTCTTACCTCTTCCTAGCTTCTGGTAGCTCCTGGCAATCCAGGGCATTTCTTGATTTGCAGCAGCAAACTCTAATCTCTGCCTCTATCTACACATGCTGTCTGCTCTCTGTGTCTGTGTCTCTTCTCCTCTTTTTATAAAGAAGATTAAGGCCTACCCTATTGCAACTGATCATGGCAATAGTGGAAGATTGTTCTAGATGCATTTGGTCCCATTGTATATAGGATCACTGAGTCGGGGGCCAACTCCACAGCACCTAACAACTATATAGATTTGTTAGTTAATAACACCTTCAAAGACTCTTATCAGACAAGATCACATACCAGGGGTTAGGACTTCAACGTATCTTTTTATGGGACACAGTTCATTCCATAACAGTATTTAACTACTAATTTCTATGTAGATGGTAGAGTTTGAGCTGACTTTTTGTGACTTGCTGGTGGATCCCCTATTTGAATGGCCTTTTCACTTGCTCTTGAAATACCTCTGGAAGTGTGCTATACTTTAGAAGGAATCAGAATTTAAAATAACCACAATTTTCCTTTATAATAACATTAGTGAGGAGTTTTAATGTCTACATATCGTAATAATAATAGTTAGCATTTATATGGTACCTACTAGTATCTGTTTCTGACTTAAGTCTTTATATATATTTAGTCACTTAGTTTTTATAATAAACCTTGTAACAACAGTAGTAATAGGTACTATTACTATTAACCAAAAAACAACAAACATCGCCATCAAGTTGATTCTGACTCATAGTGACCCCTCCTTGGGCTTCCAAGGCAGCATCTCTATGGAAGTCTTCCTTCCAAGAAATGGCTGGGGGATTTGAACCACCAACCTTCTGGTTAGCAGTCAAATGCCTTAGGCACTGTGCTACCAGAGCTCCCACGATTAATAGATGAGGAAACTGAGACACAAAGAGATTTGGAAACTTGACCTAAATCACATATCTAATGAGTAGCATAAGAGCTCTAATATCGTAGTGGTTAAGGCACTTGACCGCTAACCAGAGAGCTGGAGGTTCAAACCCACCAGCCACTCCTCAGAAGGAAGGTTGAGCAATCTACTTCCGTAGTGATACTGCCTTGGAAACCCAAGGAGGGGTCGCTATGAGTCAGGTCCGACTCGATGGCAAATAACAACAACAACAATGAGTAGCAGAGCCATGATCTGAACTTACACAGTCTGGCTCTAGGGTCCACACATTTATACTTTGATTTCTTAGAAATTCTGTTTCTATTTTCCCCACATACATGGTCACATTCTTAACTTTCATTTTTTCTTCCTCTGACAAATAACAAATAGATGATAAAGATCAACCTAAAATGTAAGACCCCAGGCTATCAATAAGAATGATTTAATTTGCAACTATTAAGAACGGTAGCATATATAGCTCAAGTCTATCAATAATTTGGCAATCTGCCCATCAAGTGATGCATTAACAACATAAGATGCAAAACAGATCAATAAGATCTTTTTATATACCTTCCCCCATCACCATCAAGTTGATGCCAATTCATAGCAACCCTGTAGGATGGAGTGGAACTGTCCCATAGGGTTTCCAAGGCTGTAAATCTTTATGGAAGCAGACAGCCATATCTTTCTCCCATGGACCGGCTGATGGTTCAAACCGTGGACTTTTTGGTTAGCTTGTTGTTGTTATGTGCCATCGAGTCGGACCCGACTCATAGCGACCCCTCCTTGGGTTTCCGAGGCAGTATTACTACGGAAGTAGATTGCCCCCTCTTCCTTCCAAGGAGTGGCTGGTGGGTTTGAACCACTAGCCTTCTGGTTAGCAGTCAAGAAAGTGCCTTAGCCACTATGCTACCATAGCAGCTGACCATTTAACCATTGCACCACCAGGGCTCCTTTTATACCTCCCAGAAAGTGATTTTCAAAACTAGTTTGCTGCCATGTAGGCAATGATGAGTAACATATGAACGACACACACACATAAAAGAATACTACTTGAGTGCCTTTGGAAAATGAAAATTATTAGCTAGAACAATAAATATGGCAGATTACAATGTAGCTGGTAATACACAAGAGACCAGGATGGGAGTGAGAATATGTAAAATGATTGTTTTTTAATTTCATGCATTTTTAGAAATAGAATTTCATTTCCAAATTTATCTTTTCATCCATGTACAAGAATTTTCATCCACGTACATATAACAATATTACCAGGAGACATGATACTCACCTGCCTGGTATGATCTGAGGAGCTCCCGCTGGCCATTCAAAGCAGGAAAAAGGGATAATGCATGGAAATTACACAGAAAAGTAACCAAGATCCAATGAAGCAATGCACGGTAAACATAAAAGTTGTAGTAAGTACCCCTCTTCCCAAAAAATCAGCCACTGAATAAAACCCCATGGAGCACAGTTACACTCTGACACACATGGGGTCCTCAATGATTCTTTGATAAGTGATTCTAGGCTCTAGGCTATGATAACTTTCCACAACAAATCTTCGCCTTTGCTCTTTTCCAAGGAAAATGTATGAAAAGACAGCTATAAAAAGAAAAAAAAAAAATGACTACGTCATGTAATCCTTTGTAACTACAAGACAGACCACTAAAATAAAATAAAAGGTATAGGAAGTACTAAGACAAGAATAAACATGAAAACCCAAAATAATATACAAAATCAAGT